TGCCATGGTGCACCTGTACATGGGACCGCATCCCATGGGGCCGTTCAGATTCTTGTAGCGCGGCTGAGCGATCCTGACGTCCCTCCAGGGCGTTCCGCGGATCTCCGCTCGCGCGGGGTGCCCCTTAATGATTTGGCGGCACGCCCTTCCCCGTCCTTGATGTCCTCTGACGCAGGCCGGCGGCGCCCCTTGTCTCCTGCCGCGCGGCTGAGGGCGCGGTCGCCCCTGGCCCCCGTGATGTCCCAGGCCGAGCTGCTTTCCTTCATGGAGCTGGCTTGAGCACTCCGAAGCGCCAGGGCGGCATCTCGATCGACGGTCTGTGAGTAGGGGGTCCAGGATTTGCCCTTTGTGGGCGCGTCTTTAAAAATGCTAAATGGATCGGAGGGGTCTTCTCCTCCTCGCCATCGTCCGCGACTGGTGTCGGGCTAGCAACCGGGCTCGCTTCTTTGGCTGTGGCTGCTTCGCTTCCCGCGTCTTCATCCCAGTCGGGCGCATCCGGCCCCCCCTCGGCCTTGCCTGCCTGGTCGCAAGAGCCTTGCCCTTCCGCTGGAGGGTCGTTGGCCCTGTCGTCGCCTGGGGTCTGTAGATCTGCCCTGGGGGGGGCGGCCTGGTGCTGCCCCCCGCACTGGTCCGCGGCTATCTGCTGGGGGGGCGCCTGCTGCCTCCTCTGTCCTGCTCAGCCAAGACGCCGCTGGAGAGTTGGCCGCGGTCGCGTAAGTAGTCCAGTCCGTGTCCGTCTGAAATGGATCTCGGTTGGCCAGCTCTCCTATGGTGCCGTATTCCCATGAGGTATGGTAATAGGGTGCTGAGCCGCTGGCGGAGGGGGCACTCGCCCCGCTGCTCGGCTCGGTCGGCGGCGTATCTACGCCACCTGGTCTCATGCATCACGTTGGCCCTCGTTAGGTGGCACACTACTCGCGCCGCCGCGGCCCGCTGGCTGCCCCGTGGGATGCCGGGGGGGCGGCAGTTATCGGGGATCGTATCCCCGTAGATGCTGACCAGGACTTGGCGAAGACATTGGGGGGGCCAAGACCCTCCGTTGGTCTTATCGCCCGGTATTCCGACGCCGTATTGCTCCACGAACTCCATCAATTTCCCGTAAACGGTGGGGTTCCACTCTAGGATGTACTTGACCAATGAACAAGGCGCAGCCTGAATCCTTCCCTGTGAGCCCAGAGGTGGAGCGGGTTGGTAGGGCGCGCCCAGCCGGCGGTGAGATGTCGGGGAACAAGGATTTGATGCCCCGTGCGGCAGCTCCTGACCCGTTACTCTCCCCGACGGGGCCGCCTTGGACAGTGCTGGTGGGAGGGGTCGGCGCTCCGGTTGGGTCGGGTGGCTCTGTGTATGCATCCGTGGCTGCAGCGTTAGCGCGGTCTGGAGTGAGGTAAACGCTGATGTCGTGGCTCTCCGCCTGCACTTCTGCCGTTGCTGCCCGCTTGGCTGGTGCCGCGGGGTATACGCGCGAGGGCTGCTGGTCCAGTATGTGGTCAAGCGTGCCTGGAGCCGCGTTCCAGTTGTGGATGAGGCACCGCCTGCATGCCCAGCCAGCGTACCACTGCCGCTGGGTCCAGAGGGTGGGCATGAGGTCCCAAGGCGGTAGCCCGGTCTCGGCGACGGTGGATGCTTCGGGCTCTGGGCGCCACAAGAAGCAGCCTAATGCTGGGCTGCTTACCGCCCACTCCAACAGGGGTGATCCTGTTGGCAAGTGTCGCATTGGGCAGAGTGGGTGCCCGTGAGGTGCGAATCGAGCCCGAACCTTCCGTCTGACAGCTTGTGAGCAGGTAGGGCGGTGCCAGTGGCCCGGGGGCTGTAGGCTGAGGGGGTTTTCATGACGAGGTCGCGAAGGCTGGTGGGGGTCGGGGCCGCGTCAAGGCGCCCGTATCCAACCGGGAGCCGATCCGAGGACGGGAGTGTGCGTGACTTCTTCTTATGACGTGTCTCGTCCACTGCGCGCTTGTATGCCTGCAGACGCTGCGGTAGTGACATCTTGTTGCCGCAATCGTATGGGGCGAGGGGGCCTCGATGTCTTTCTTTTCCAGGGACTTGACCCAGCACTGCTCGCACAGCCACCTGCAGTTCTTGCCTTGCCAGTAAGCTTGGGAGCGGTTCTGTGCGAGGAATTCCCTTGTGTCGTCGTCCTCCCAGGTGCCGGCCCAGCCCTTGATCCCATTTTTGGGGCAGTCCTCCCCATCGCAATCGAAGCGGCCATCTTCCTGCTCGACGCGGAACCTGTCGTCGGTCCCCCGTGGCGGGATAAGTAGGGTTCCGGGGGCCGGGGAAGCGGGGGAATAATCGTCGAGCCGCCTGTTGGACATGGCAATGCCTCCTCCGATATACTCCAGGTCTGTCATTGGGCCTGGGCATCCGAGCCCTTCATCTGGCCCGCTGAGTTCTTTGTGGAAGGTGCAGATGGAGCACTTGTTCTTGCCTAGGGGGCTGACCACGGCTGGTCCGACTAGCTCCTCTAGCACCCTCATGGGGGCCTCCAAGGGGAACTTGCTTTTCAGCATGCCGGCCCAGGTTTTCGGGCACCCGTGCTCGTCTGCAACCTTGTGGTGGTGGGCGTACGTGGCGAGCGTGCTGACGTGCTTGATGGCGTCCTCGGATTTCCCGTGTAGGGAGGTTAGATCAATCAGCTGCGCTTGCGAAGGTGGTTCTGTACTCGAGGTGCACGTTCTGCCAAGGGAAGCAGATACCCATGGCTGCTTCTATGATGTCCCCAGTGGCCTCTGTATGTGGGAAGGGCCAGAGCGTCGCCCGAGGCTCGCGCAGCTGGATCATCATGACGACGAGGAGGACTCTGAGTGTGGGGGTGTCCAGGGGGCGGCCGTCGCTGCTGAGAAGGGAGCGTCTTAGCTCTGAGTTGGCTTGGCCCGTGCGAAGTAGGGATTTCAGGTGCTGCATTCCTGGGTGTGCGCGGTGCCTCCTGCATCTTCCCGTCTCTTGGCTCCATGCCCCTGGAAACTGGTGTAGGACCTCGGGGGGGGTGCAACGGCTGGCGCCCCTCGGGCGGTGGCTGACGCCCTTCACCCTGGGCAGGGGAGGGAGCGACACGTCTGGGACGGCTAGGCTCTTGTCGTCCCAGGGGGTGCCCAGCCCGAGGAACCATACCAGGGCTGCCCACGTCAAGTTGTAGACGAGGTTGCTGGCGTCTATGCCCAGTTCTACGTCGCAGCAGAACCCCAGGTGACTCCATGCCTTGCGGTCAAATAGGCCCGGCTGCCTTGGTGTGTCTGCCATGGAGTACTGTGGCGATACGCGAAGCGTTCAGAATTATCACAACGGTTGGGGGAGCACATAGGCCAATGTCTTGGCAAGACGTCGGGACAAGATTTGGCATCGTAAGCGTTTCCGCAAGGCAGGGGCGCGACGGTGGTCCGCAGCAGGCGTCTTCGATTAACAAACAACAAGTGAGCGCAGACGAAAGGCGATGTATGAAATGACGAAGAATCACGTGAGCGGGTGGCAAATCAACGAAATATGCAATAAGATTTAAAGGTTCAAAAAAACAAATGGGTTCTGAGAGCTTCTGCATTACCCCGCCGCCGACGAACACATTTCGCTTAGCTATGTCCCCCATTACCCCTGGCCTGCTGATTGCCTTCCGCTGCCGCGAACTTCTTCCGTTCGGCTCTGCACTGGTTGCATACTCTCGAGTGTCACGATTCAAACAACCATACGGACTGCAGCGAGCAACCGACAACACTGAACACGTAACCCACAAAGCCACAGCGGCGAATGCAGCATAAAGCGAACAAAGAAACAGCACATAATAGAGAGAAAGAGCGTATGGCATGGCGAAGGATCACGCGAGCGGGTGGACAAACGACGGCAAAGAGACAGACGAGTGCCAGGCTGACGAACTAACGGAAACCAACAAAACGAGACATACCCAACCCCTTCTACACGCGAGGAGAATCGTTGCCTGAACGCTCCATCACAAAAGAACGCATCGCCAAATGTGCACGATCTGCGCTGCTCTGAGCCGAGGTGCCTCGAAGGACCCCACCAAAGTGGCGACGGCTGCGCAGGTCCCGTCCTGACGCGCGTACACCTCGACTCCGCTGGAACTCCCAGGACCCCACGAAAGTGGCGACGGTTGCGCAGGTGGCAGCTGCCCAGGAAGCCGCGAGGTTTCGTCTGGATGCGCGTACACCTCCACTCCGCTGCACCTCCCAGGAGCCCACGAAAGTGGCGACGGTTGCGTCTGGATGCGCGTACACCTCCATTCGGACATCGCAGGAGCCCGCGAAAGTAGCGGTATTTGCGCAGGTCGCAGCCCCACAGCAGGAAAGGTACGAGCGAGGGATGAAAGGAGGCAGGAGACGAGAGAAGAGGGGAGGAGGAGGCAGGAGGCAGGAGGCAGGAGGCAGGAGGCAGGAGGCCCGAGGCAGGAGGCAGGACGAGGAGGAGGACTGGAGAGCCCGGCGCTCCATTCAAAACGAGAACCCAATAACACAGGAGGGCTTGGAATAAACGGATGGATACACGAACGGGTCAAGAATGAACGGGTGCTTAGAGTCACTGCAACAGAAAAATCCTTCAACCCAACATTGTCCTTGAGCGATCAGACCACGTGTATAGACTTATCTTGCAAAGCGTACGAAATCCACGAGCGCTTGCATTCACTCTTCGATCGAGGGCGCCAGTGTCCTGGGAAATGCGGTTCTGGACAGCCCGGAAGCAGCGCTCACAAAAATATGTTCCAGGTTGGTTGCCTGGCATGCCAGGTGCAGTCTGGGATGGGGCGGCGAGGAATTTGATTCGGCGGCGAGCGAGGGGGGGAAGTGAGAAGGAGAAGGCCTTCTCAAAGGCGGCGCGACGTCTCAGAAGCCCTCGCGCCTTCTGAGAAGGTTTCTGTGTCTTCGGGGGAGGCTGAGAAAACTTCTCGGAAGGCCGGGGGACTTCCGAGCCTTCTGAGAGTGCCCGCCCCTCCTCACTTCCCCCCTCGCTCGCCGCCGATTGATATGAACGCGGGAGGAACTCGGCTGGCCTTGTTGTCACCGATGCCCATCTCGCCATCGGGGTCCATCGGCGTCAGGGTGAGCGTGCTGCTCAGGCCTGCCCCAAATAACGAACTCGCGCATCTCATCTCCCAAGACTCCACACGTCGTCAACGGACCACAGCCGCGTGAAAAGTCACGATCGGGGCTATCGACTGCATCGTTACTGCAAGACTTCCCGAGCCAGATGAATCCATTGACGGCGCTGCGGCCTTAGAACGTAGCAGAAACGCTGGTCATTACAGTCAACCCGTATCATAAGGACGCGCGGTAAGGATGGCCGTGGAAGGCCATTTCGAAGTTTTCCGAGCGGGTCGCGGCCAGCGAAAGAGGCCAAGGATGGGCCGAGGAGGCAAGGATGCAAAGGGTACCCTTGGGAAGGCTGCCCATCCGCACGGTGCGGGTCGACCACAGAGCGCAGCAGAAGCGCTGGTCATGACTTTGAGGCGACTGTCGAGCCAGAGGATCCAGGCGTGTCGGGCGCGCCGAAGCGGGGGAGGGAGGGGGGGGGGGCAGGACGAGGGTGTGAGCGCACCGTGGCCCGAGGCACGTGCGCGGACAAGGTCGGGGGCGAAGGGGCGCGCTGGAAGAGGGGGAGGAGCCGGGAGGCTGGCGAAATGTCTGCGGCCCGGGCCACGGTGGAGGCGGAGGGCGAGGGGGGCGCCTTGAAAGAACGAGAGGGGCCAGGGTGGAGGGACGCCTTGAGAGAACAGGGGGAGCCATGAGATTGACGAAATGCTTACGGACCAGGCCATGACATCCGACCGCCCCCCCCCATTCCTCACCCGACTCTTCCGCACCCCGGGAATCTGAGGCTCCCGACAGAGCGACACAGTCTCGACGCCCCTCGCCCAGCTTGCGGATCATAACCTCCGTCTCCGACGGCCAGTCGGAACGACTCGGGCACCCCGGGAACGCTCTCGGCCGGGCGCAGCTGCTGGAAAACGTCCCGAGGCTGGAAAACCACCGAGGACCGAGGAAGCCCGAAAGCATCAAACCTCGACGCCCCCACGTTTCGCCAGACCCGAGAACGGAGACCAACCCCAACGGCGACTTCTTGGATGCTGGGAGCGGCCGGGGGGCGGAGCTGCCTGGACCCCGAGAAAATCCGCCGAGCGGGGGAGAGGAGGGCGAGTCCGCTCAAAATCTGTCGCAGGACCCCTCCCAAGAGCCACCTGGCGAAACGCCTCACCCCGGATCCGACTCTGACTGTCCCCGGGCCCGAAGAGACGACCCCCCCGAGAGCGAAAGCAGCGAAAGACCTCCTCCTCGAACCCAGCACCGCGAGCCTCCCCTCCCCCCTCCCCTGCTGGTCGGAACCGGTGCTGGGCCACCTCGGAGCCCCCAGCAATGCTTCCGCTCGACTGCGCTCCTCCTCCCGGCGAGGTCCGTCCGAGAGGGAGGCGCCCAAGTCCGAGAGGGGGGTTCGCAGACTGTGGCCCGAGGCACGTGGGCGCCCCCGGGGGGTCCCCTAAGGCACAGACGGAAGGAAACAGACAAAGGGCGCGCCGTTGAATGCCGAGGCACCGTCGAACCTGGGCCAGAAGAACATCCCTCCGTCGGGTCGGGCGAAAGGGGGGATAGCAAAGGGGGGGTTGAGAATCAGCTCACGTAGCTGATTTTCCCGGCGCCTCCCGGCGCCAGAAGGCGCCCATGCATCGAGGGATGGGCCCGGCGGCGAGGCCGAAGCCAGCTGCATGCAGCAGATTTTGTAACCCCCCCTTTCCCAATCCCCCCCTTTCGCCCGGCCCGACTCAGGAACATGAAACCCCCTGGCGGCCAAAACAAACAAGCGGGCCACCTCTGAGGGCACCCTCCCTCGGGATGCACAAGAAGAGCATCCAGCAAGCACGACGAACACTGGGGTACCCTCCCCGAGCCGACCTCGATCTTATACCTCGGTCCGAATGTACAGTGGAGGCCAGTCCACAAGAAACCTTCCACAAGAAACCCAACACTGAGACCCCAGGACGTCCACTGACTTTGGGCGTGGGAATGTCACTCCTTCCATCGCAAAACCATCGAAATCCAAGAAACCCAGGGCACCCTGGAGGCAAGCAGGTTGTTTCTTGGCATGGGTCTCCACTGTATCGTGGCCCCGGCCATGGTGTCCACGCACCCCCAGTCCGCATTCCCCCCCCTTGGACGCCCCCGATCCCCGTTAAAGGGAGCACCAGTTCAAGTGGGGGAAACATCGCCTTGGCATCGGCGACGCACCGCCGACAGCTCGGCGATAGGCCCCCCGATAGCGAGACCGCACGGTCTCCTGGGCATGGTGGGGCATCGTGGGGACACAAGCAATGACATCGCGGATTCCTCGGATCGGCGCTGGGAGCCCCTGGCGCGCTCCGCGCGCCAGGGAAGGGGGCCCAGCACTGGTTTGAGAAATCCGCGCGGACCTCCGAGTTGTTATGTTTATGCCACTGTTTGTTCCCCTCGGGCACCCATCGACGAGGCGTGGGCGATGGGGAGTCGATGCGTCCCCCCGTGATGCACATCCCCCCCCCTGACGTTGCCCCTGAGCTCCTGCTTCCCCTCCCCGGGGCGCGCCGCAGGGCAGGGTCGAGACGTCCACGTCGAAGGAGATCTCGCGGTTCTTCAGCGCGAGGACCTCGACGGCGCGCAGGAAGGAGGGGCAGGACCCGCCGGCACCGAGCCGATGAATCGGATCGTCTCGAGGCGAGGCCTGTCCCAACCCTGACCTTCCAGGGGTGCTGAGAAATGGCACCGGGGCCTCTGAGTGAAGACTCTAGCCTTTTTTCTTACTAGCAGCCCTGAAAGATCCATGGGTTTGGAGGGCACCTGTTTCAGCACTTGGGTTGGAGGGCTACTGTTTCAGCACTTGATAAGGTCAGGGAAGACGCAAGCTGCCGCGGGCCTAGCCACGCCCCCAAGAGCGGCGTTGGGAGCTGGGGCCCTGTGGGAAGGGGCGCTGAGGATGGGAGAGGGATCCCGAAGCTGAACCAGCGCTGAAGAAAAAGCGGCTTAAGTACAAGATGTGCGATGTCCACGAAGATTTCCACGCGCGCCAGGTAAGGGTGTCCAGCATCGGGGACCTATACTGACCAAGGTCAATCCAACCCTGGTTTACTACTCGGGCCTTGCAGGATCCAGCAAGATCGTGCAGGATCCTGCACCCAAACCCGGATCAGTGCACCCCTGGCTCCGCAGGATCCTGCAAGATCCGGCGTTCTGACTGACCCCCGTTTGCATCGACCCCCGTCCCTTGAGCCCAACCGATGGGGATGCGCGACAGGTCGGGCCGCACCATCACGGAGTCAGAAACGAGTCGGAGCGGCGGCGCCAGGATAAACAGCGCCGCCGTGCGAGCATCGGGCCGCATCGTCGGAAAATCGGAGCCCGATCGGCTCGAACTGGCCGAGACCGATATCGAATCGGATCAATCGAATTAAAGTGGACCCTGGAAGGCAATGGGAGGAGAAAGGCGACTCGACTCGCGCTGTGGGCCGTGGCAGCCCATGGGAGAGTGTACTGGTGGATCAACTGTGCAGATGTTCACGCCGCACCCTATGGCGCCACACGGAGGCGCCACTGGCTGCATCTTGAAGTCGAAGACTCGTCACTGGGGCCCAAAGACGGGGGACTGGCTGCTCATGAGGGGGGGCATCGGTCTGGAACTGGACGGCCCGCGGTAACGCTCCCAGACGGCCACACAGTGCCTCCAGAGGGGCCCACGATGGCCCAACGGAGCCCCGTTGCCGCAAGAAGGCCCTGATGGGGGCACCAAGAGGCCTCCAAGACGAGAAAGATGAGGCACCAAGAGGCCTCCGAAATGTCCCTCGAAACCACCCCAAAGGTGCAAGAGACCCAGTGGCAGCCCCAACAAGGACTCACGACCAGCCCACCAGGATCCAGAAGGGGCCAAGATGTCCCGTTCTGATCGTTTCGGCCACTGGGGGAGCGACGGTGACGTGGAGAGCGTCTTATCATGTTTCGCGACAGCGGCCGTTGCCAGCCCTGGCCTCGCCCTCCCCCCCAGTAGTAACGTCACGACTCGTGAAGACGCCGGCTCGGAACTCCTAGGGAAGACCCAGAAAGCTCGAGTAGTCAGCCCCCTTGCGCACATAGGCCGACCTGAAAAGCCGAAACGCCGCCCAAAACGAAAATCGGGTCTGCCCAAACTGGGTATGCCCAAGGTCGCGCCCAAAACGTTGCCCAAAACGCAACCCAAAACGAAAGGCAGGTGTTGCCCATAGTTATTTCTGGGGCGCGCGATGCTTTCTAGCCCCAGGATCGCATTGCTTACATCGCAGGAAGTTTCGGCAGCATTTTGGGCAACATGTTGGGCGGCATTTCGGGGGGATATTCGGTCATCGCGCTCCTGCATCCTAGCCGGCGCGTTCGGGGCGGTTTTGGCTGGGCCCTGGTTTTGGGCAGACCCTGTTTTGGGACTGCCTGGGGAGCACCTGACGAATAGCAGATGCCCGCGCGGATCTGCGATGGTATAGCGTGCGCCACGCTATGGATGTGACCGACGATGGATACCTACGGATAGCAAAGAACAACGGACACAAAAAAACTGTTGTGTTGCTCTATCATTTTCCATTCCCTCCCGTCCCTCCTCCGCCTCCTCTTTCTCCTCCTCTCCATCCTCCTCTTCTCGTCATCCTCGTCCTGCTCATTCCAATGGATGGTGTTTCACACAAGAATGGAAGAATAAAGGAGGACATCGAATGGAGGGAAGGAGCGAGGAAGGCGGGGCCAGGCCGAACGACCTGCTTGATTAGAATTATGGTATCGGTTCGTGCTCGTCGTCGTCTGCCCCCCTTCCTCTTCCTCGTATTCCTTCCCTTGTCTTCCTATTCCCCTTATCGCGTTGCACACTGCTTCGCTACACAAAACCATGCGCACCACATCGCGGGGGCGCACTGGGAGCGTGCGGAATGGCGTAACTCCATGAGACTCACGCGGGCCTCGGCATCCTATCTCTGGATGGTAAGTTTTCTGAATGGCCCTCTCACTCAACAATACCAGCAGCGCAGTGATCGACCAGACGACGATCGAGGATCTCAAGCTGGGTGCCTTACGCAATCCAGCAGGCTGGAAGCACGCGCAGTTGAAATCAGACGCGGAACATGCGGAGGACAACTGCTGGACACACGTTCGGATGGCTGGCGTACTGAACCACAACAGGCCAAGCCGTGCAATGGCATGCGACCACACTTGTATCAACCTCTCGCCCAGGCTGGCCACGTCATGTAAACGACTTTGTGGCTATAAACACACAAGACACGTGTCCCGTTGTGTTGGGCTCAAGATGTTCCCAACGAGGCAGGAGCACGACGACGAAGACGACGACGCCTATGACAAGGGGGAAGGATAATGAGGGATGGGGGAAGATCGACGTGGAGGAGAGCGAGCGAGCGAGCCAGCAACGGCGCAGGTCAATGACCAGCACCGAGCTAAAGAGAGAGGAAGGCTTTTCTTGCGGATGCAACGCAGCAAGAACAGCGCTCCGCGCAAGTCGGCAGCCGACCAACTGCCGGCTGCCACAGTACATTCGGAATGTTAAAATGCTCTTGTGCCAGAGAATGAGCACGTGTAGATCCTGAGCCACGCAATTCTGACTAAGATTGAAGCAGCGACCAGGTTGCCTTGCTGGGGTTGCGGGGCGGGCGCGCAAATAACCGCCACCGTGCCCTTGAGGCACTGACTTGGAGTGCTGTGAGCTCCCTTGCTCGATTCCCTGGAGCCTCAGAGCCCAAACTTCAAATTGCCAAATCTCAAAGGGCTTGGGACTAGACTGTTGAAACGATTCCAGGCCAGTCCTCCTCCTCCTCCTCCGCCTCAACCTCTGCCTCCCCCTAGCCATGCTCCTCTAATTAAGTCCTTGTCACCCGCCTCCTCCTCCTCCTACTCCTCCTCCTCCTTGTTCACCTCCTCTTCCTCTGTGAGATCGTCGTCGTCGTAGAACGAAAGAAAACAAGCAAGGGCTAGATCATTTATGTAGGGACCCAACGGCTCGTCGCAGACATATTCGAACTTACCGTCGGCCCAAATGGTTACGATGTGTCCATCGCGTTGGTTCATGCACAACAGAGTCGAGGACGAATTCGTATCAAGCCGCGCATCGTCAATGATGATGGCTCTTTTCATGCGTGCATGTGTTTATCCAATGGTCTTCGGCTCAAACCCGCCACCGTACGTGAGTTGTGGACCAAAGGCCCCTCGATGTCTCTTGGGGCCTCTTTGGAGGCATTATGGGGGCTCTGGTGCCGCTCTTGGGGGGGGCCTCCGGGGGCAGCTCGGGGGCCTTCTTGGAGACCTCCTCGGGAAGTCCTGGGGCCACTGAGAACTCTGCCTGCGATGCTGGTGCCGAGTGATTGCGATTGAGCCTGGTTTTGCATCGTCCGCGATAACGAGCGTGATCGGGGGGAGGGGCCCGATCACATCACGGCGGGTTTCGGCCTCCCGGGGCCTTTTTCGAGCCCCCAGCCCCTCGGGAGGAGGAAGACAAAGAAAAGGGAGAGGGAGCAGAGGAGGAAGAGGGGTTTGAGGGGGAAAAAAAATAAAAATAAAAAGGGAACAGCAGCAGAAGCACGAGCAGGAAGAACAGGGAGGGCGAGCGAAGAGGAGAAACGATCTGTAGCCAATTTGACTCAAGCCAATGTTGGCTTTTCCAAAAAGCGGGCCAATGATGGTTCCACCAAGCCTGTCCAGAGAACTCGGTAGAACCACCACCTTGCGTGTAATTCAACTCTGTGCTGCCCTCCCCTGTGCCTGGACGGGGGGGGGGCGCGAAGTGTCAGAGCGTGGTTTTTGGCCCAATATGGCTCCGAGAGGGCCTCGGAGAACTCAAGATGGCCTCCAAGATCGCTCAGGGTAGCCCAACATAGCTGAAGCTAGCTCACAACATGCCTCCAGACCGCTTCGAGTGGTCAAGGAGCCTCCCAGGGCGGCCCCCGAGAGGCCAAAATCCTTCAAGAACAAAAAACGTGTTCGGGACCTTGCGATGGGTTTGCGAAGCCTCAAGATTGCTCCAAGCTGGCCAAAGAGGGCAAGCCCCAAGAGCGGCCCGAGAGGAGCCAAGGGGCGCCGAAGAGCGCCCCATCCTGCTTCCCATCCTCCTCCCCATCCTGCTCCCCATCCTCCTGACTCCTCCTCCCCCTCCGGGGGCGGCGGCGGCGGCGGTGGCGGCGGCGGGGACGACTGACGAGTTTCGCCTCTGCCGCGTGGGCGAGCTCTTCCGCACCCCCTCCGAAGAGCGAGGTCCGAGGCTCGAGGAACGAGGTTTTCGTGACTTTGTTATCGTTTTTCGGCCTTCCCGTCGCGGACAACAGCGACGACGACGAACTCCTGGGAAACCCTTGAGATTCTCCAGTAACCCTGGAAGATTCCTTAAGACGTGGGGAAAACAGCGTGACGTGATCAGGGGGGGGGGGCGGGGGCGATCACGAGCGTTATCGCCCAGACTGGGAAAAAACAGGCTCATACTGACGGCGGCACACAACGAACGTGAGGTAGCGCACAAGGAGCTCACAGGGAGCCGTCAAGTGAGAGGGGAGCCGCATCCTCGCTCCCAGGAGCTCACAAGGGGCGGAGAGGAGCCGCCCAAGGAGAAGCTCCTGGATGACCTCGGGGCTCCCAGACGATCCCAAGCCCACCTTGTGGCGCCCACCAGGAGGCAGCCAGGCGCTCGTGCTCCCAAGATGCCCGAAGGCCGAGAGCTGCCCAGACATGTAGCCAAAATTACGCACGGACTCTGCCGCTTTCACCAAAACGCACTGTACCTGAACTCGCTGGGCTTTTCCGTGATCGAACACGTCGGCATGCCGACCAGGTAGCTCTCTGCGCACCCACGCGGCACGGACAGCCCGCCTCGGGATCCATCGCCCCACGCGGACGATGACGTTGTGGCAACTGTCGGCCTTGGGTGGACACCAAAGCCTGGCGAGGAAGCCCGCTGCCCAGCGTGCTAGTACCGGTAGGTGTCGGGCTTGAAGGGGCCAGTGGGCTTCACACCGATGTAGTCGGCCTGCTCCTTCGTGAGGGTCGTGAGCTGGGCACCGAGCGCCGGCAGGTGCAGGCTTGCAACCTTTTCGTCGAGATCTTTCGGGGGGAGGTACACGTTGTTATTGTAGCCCTTCTCCTTCGCCGGGAGCAGGTCAATCTGCGCGAGGACCTGGTTTGTGAACGAGCAGGACATCACGAAGGACGGGTGTCCGGTGGCGCAGCCGAGGTTGAGCAGCCGCCCAGCTGCCAGGATAATGATGCCGTGCCCGTTAGGGAAGACGAAGCGGTCAACCTGCGGCTTGATGTTCTCCACCTTGATGCCTGCGAGCTTCTCCAGATTTTCCGATCTCGTTATCGAAGTGGCCGATGTTGTCCACAATGGCATTGTTCTTCATCTTCTTCATATGCTTCAGCGTGATGATCTTGAAGTTTCCTGTGGTGGTCGTGAAGATGTCGATCTCGCTGACGACGCTCTCCATCGTAACCACCTGGAAGCCCTCCATGCATGTCTGAAGCGCACAGATGGGGTCACACTCAGTGATCAGCACCCTGGCACCAGCACCGCGCATGGCGAACGCACAACCCTTGCCCACATCACCATACCCACAGATCAGCGCACGCTTGCCCCGATCATCACGTCTGTGGCACGCATGATGTCATCTGGCAACGAATGCCTGCACCCGTAAACTTTGTCGGACTTGGACTTGGTCACGCAATCGTTCACGTTGATGGTTGGGAACAAGAGCTCGCCCTTCGCAGCCATCTCCTTCAGCCGGTGGACGCCAGTAGTGGTCTCATCGCTGACACCCTTGCACTTCGCGGCCATGCGCGAGTACTTCGTCTTGCCGGCCGCAAGATGCACTTGAACTCGGCATTGTCCGTGCTGGCAGGATCGGGCAGGAGGGAAGGCCTCGCCGAAAGATCCTGGACACGCCCGCGGTAACGCTCCTGGACAGGGTGGGGATGACAAGCCCTGGTCTGCGATGGATGAGACACTGAGTGCCCAGGAAAGCTCCAGAGAACACGCCACCCCCAGCCCTGGCCAGGCCCATCCCGGGCCCTGGACTGGTGTACAGGCTCTCCTGGCCTAGGCCAGGAGGTCTCTTCACCAGTCCAGGGCCCCAGATGGGTCTGGCCAGGGCTGGGGGTGTGAGGAGGAGGAGGAGGAGGAGGAGGAGGAGGAGGAGGTCTTTGCACCAGTCCAGGGCCCCAGACGGGTCTGGCCAGGGCTGGGGGCGGCGGTGGTGAGGAGGAGGAGGAGGAGGAGGAGGAGGAGGGAGCGAGCGAGCATGCAGCAGTGCAGTCGAAGACGATAGCACAGAGCATAAAAAAGAGAGAGGTGGGCACGGTCAAGAGACCGCGCCCGAATATATGAAGAGCGGGGCCCTGGGCCTTATGGGGTTACAAGGCCAGGGCCACGCAAGCTCAATCAGAGCTGTCAGAGTCCCCACCACCCGCCTCCACCCCCGCCGCCCCCCCAGAGACGCAAGCCGCCTCCTCGAGGCTCGGGGCGGCGGCGACCTGCAGCGCCAGGTCGCTCGGGTCGGTTGGGGGGAGGGGAAGGCAAGGTAGCACCCGTCCTGGGATGCTTGCCCCGTGCAGCGAGCGCCAGCATCCTGAGGTGCCCAGCGCGAGTGGACCTGACCCGCGACTCACCTCTACATTCCTTGCTGAGTCCACGACAGAAACCATCTGGGAGCACAAGCGAGCAAGCACAAGACTGGCATATAATTACTCGCCCGTATCTGATCGGGCGATGCTGCAAATTGCGAAAAACATCGAGGCCGTCGTCCGAGGCCGACTCTCTTGGTCTGGGGCAGGAGGAGGACGAGGAGGTCCCCAGGGCCCCAGAAGAGGAAGGAGGAAAACCAAGGTCGGCCGACTCAGGCTCTAATGACATTTCTGCCTGCTGGTCAGAAACCGCGCCTCCAGGAGAGCCCCTAGGAGAAAAAACCGCATCAGCAGCCGCAAGGGCAACCCGAACAGAAGGGTCGCCTGGGCTGGATTCATGCTGGCTGAAGAAATCGCGCGCTCGCCACGCCTGTATCTCGTCGGGCTGGCAAAACCTACTGGCTCCTGTTCGGAGCCCTTTAAGAGTGTACTCTGTGGTGGCGGACGCATTACAGTTTCGGCATCGCCACTCTTGGCGGGCTGGGATGAAACTCAAACCGTGCTGTACAAACGTGACCGACTTACCAAGACTATGAAGCTTTGGCGGCATGGGTGGGGGCTCTATGACCTGGCCCACAATCCCAAAAATCTGAACAGCTCTGGAGAGATAATCCCAAGTGCGTTTCAACTTCTTAATGTGGGCCCGCTCGGCCGCGACGGCCACCTCAGGCACACGATGCATGGACGACCCCACACGAGCAAAGAAATCAGCCCACAAGTTGCCACACCAATCTTCAAGGTGGCGCTGAGACAGGTGCATGACATCCTCGAGTTCCCTATGGGCGGGGACCCAGGTGAAGGTGGGCCTCCCCAGGCCCTCGGTCACCGCAATTATCTCGCGCCAAATATCAGCGTGCAAAGATCGCGCCCCCGCGGCCGACGGATCCCAAGAGGCCCCTTCCCTAACAAAAGAGAGGTGGTCACTACACACCTCGACGCCAGGGGGTGCAACCTTAATCGCCCACAAACCAGCAAACCGCTCAGCCCTAGGCACAGTCTGGCGCCCAGGCAAGGGCCCGAAAAGGGCCCGCAAGGGGTGCCCACAGGGCCCCATCTCCACGACAGACCATCCACACCGTCTAAGCTCAGGGCTGGAGCTAGCCAGCCCTGAGCCGTCAGTGTAGACGCGCTGCCCCCACTCTTGGTGGGTCGCACCCCAGTGAAGCACTGGGCACTCAGGGGAGGGGGGAAAACTAAGCGGGTAAAACGGGAGCCCATACGCAAGCTCCAGAGTGTCCCAATCGGCCACTAAGTGTGTAAACCCCTCATCCCTGAGTGCTTCCCTGTGCTCAATGACGTCGTCTGGGAGAGCCTCTATTTCGAGATCGTCAGGGGGGGAGGTTACAACAGGGCAATCATATAATTGGTGACCAAGGGTGGCATTCACGGCAGGGCGAAAATCACATTTTGGCTCAGCCCGCAACCTGGCAGCATGCTTCCGCGCAGGCGCCCAGCAGCCTGCACCCAGCAGCAGACGAGCACATCCACGTCGGACGGGATCTCGTATGCTCAGGATGCCTATCCGCAACGCCCTGCGCCAGACCTGCTCGTTGCCGAAAGCCTCTGGAATATGCCTGAGAACCCGCGCCATCTGCCAGCGACCGACTGCCTCAATGAGCAGCTGCTTGAGCTCCATGGGCGGGGTTGTGAGCAGGTTTACCGTCCTGCCCTGGTCGTCATGAACAATATGCGCTGCAGACATATGCCACTTGATGCGCTCCAAAGTTGGGTAAGTCGCGGAGATCGGGCCCAAACATTTGCCCCAGGAAGGAGCACCATTGAACCTCTTCTCGATGGCCATGTACGCATGCTGCAGCTCGGCGAGCGAAAAAAAACTTGGTCCCAAATAGCACTGGCGCAACGCACCACCAAGTTGGTTGTGCCATCAAACACGGGATCGTACTGGCTATCTGTCTGCGTGCAAAGCCATGCCGTGATGGAGGCATGGTCGCGGGCCCCCACCAGGGCCGCAGCCACAGATCTCAATCTAGTCATGGTAGTCTCTGCTATCCCACTGACTCCAGCACCGTGCGCAGCAGAAGGTAGGAGCCCTGTCCGCCAGAGCGTCCGCACCTTGTCTTTAGCCCCTCGGACAAGTGCCTGGAGTTTGGAACGTTTAGCCATCAGGGCCGCCAATCTCTTGCGCTCCTGAATACGTCGCGCCGGTCCACCTGACAGCGCATGCCCAAGATTGCGCATGTGCTTATATACTTTGATACGGTGACCACGAGCAAGCATCGAAGCCGTCCTCCGCGCTGCATGTCCTGTAGCCACGCAGCCCGACTTGGTGGCCTGGATTATCAATCCATACTCGAAGACCTGCTCAGTGAACCACCTGGCAGCAGTGAACAATACACCAGCATCTTTCGCAGATCTACCGACCCATTGAAAACTGGCATCGTCCATCAAGGAACGCGGGATCACGCTGCCATACAGCCTCTTGAACTTGAGGAGGGTCTGATGGAGCATGAGGTGTATCATAGTTGTAGCGTGCGTACATCCTGCAAGTATGCCCTGGTTCGAAGTGTACGGCAGGGAGAGAGAGCCCCAACCTTTGACCACCCGCGGACTCTGGTAGTTGGCCAAGATCAGCCATAAAAGCCGAAGGGGGAAATTGAGCTCTTTAGCACGCTGCACCAGGCAAGGTAAAATAATCATCTCGAAACACTTGTACATGTCGATCAGCACGGTGATGGAGACCTCCTGCCGCAGCTGCGCCAGCTCTGACAACGTTGTGCGAGAAGGCAGCATCGACCGAAGTAGCACCTGCACGTGAGCCCCAGAAGGCATCATTTGAGTTGGCCACCGCCCAAGCTTTGGAGAGAGGTCGGCGTAGGCGGCCCCATATTCGCACGATGGTCTGGATGAGGGCGATTAAGCGATGCCCTCCTGACTCCTTGGGCAAACGCACCATTCGAGTTTGGATTCGCTCCTCAGGCCAGGCACAGAGTTGTTCGCACTTGTGCAAGAGAGAGATAAGCGTAGTGAGGCCCACATCCGACACCACGTCGAGGCTCCGCGGATGGATATTGCACTGTCCAAGGGCCGTTCTCGCTGGGAAACGCCTCAAAACCCATCTCAAATCTAGCAACTGAATATCTGGCAACTTGGCCGAAGTGTGAAAATCTGTCGGCAACTCGAGCGGCTTCTGATGATGAGTGGACCAGATCGTAGCCCACGTGTCAAGACATTCATCAGCACGCTGGTAAGGGTGGGGTCTATCAGAATACTCAAGGACCTCTTGCAGCTGACGTACTTTGGCAAACCGATGTGCCTGACGCGCTCCTCCCTGGAAAGAGGCAGCCGCCCAGGCCTGCCACTCTTGGGTCTTGAAATAGCCCACAGCATGGATAACACGATCTACTGTGTCCAGCACTCTCTGGACGTCGGACTCCAATGTAGGCGCACAATGGGTGACATGCATATTCTGGATGAAATTGCGATCCTCGACATCCAAGAGCGGCGGCACCCACTTGTTCCGCGAAGCTCTGTGGAAGAAACCCTGGAGGCCCCAGGCCAACTTAGTGAACAACCGAACCTCATCTTGCAATACCTGTGCATCTTCCTCACGCATGAGGTCGGCCTGAAAGGAACCGAAAGTGCTGAGCGCACGGGTCCAGTCCGAGGCCCGCTGGAGCTGGATGCCCGCAACTGGCAACATATGGCGTGGAAATACCCCAGGCTTACAATATCGATGCTCTTGGAGAATAGATACGCTCTTTGTCATGCGCATCTTCATAGCCCGCATATGGCGAGCCCAACGTCCAAGAATCTTGTACGCTGCCAGCCTCCGTGGTGGCCTCGCATCTGGAGCTCTCAGCTGCTTCCACTCCCAAGTAGGGGGGCCTGCCCGACCTTGGTACCTGCAGCGTCTCCGAGAGTCAATGATATCATATCGATCAAGGACCTCACCTTCCAAGCGAACAATAACAGCATCCCAAGCAGCAGCAAGTTGCTGTGGGTTCTGAGCGTCATCAATCAAATCCTGCGCAACCTGCCACTCCCGAAGAGGCGGGAATCTAGAGCACCCTGGGTGAGGCACAGGGTCCACTGCAAGGGGCTGGACAGGTACTCTCATCCACATCACTTGTTCCGACTGCATCATCGTGACGGAGACGGGCAAATGCGGGAAGAGATCGGCGCCCTCCCGAACCTCGCAAGCGCCCGCCTTGATGGCCAGCGCTGCTGACATGCAGATGTAGTCGTACATGGACCCAGGCTTGCTCTGCAAACAGGTCGGGCACGACGGGTGCACGACGATGCCACTGAGACTGTCGAAGAAAGGTCGAAGAAGGCAAATGTCCATATTCCAATCACCTGCAATCAGCCAATTTCTGCCCT